CGCCCCCGCGCCCTCCGCCCCCGGGGCTCCTGACTCCAGCCCCGCGCCCCGCGGCCCGCGGGCCGGCAGCGGGCACCACGACCTGGTGCAGAGGAGCCTCGTGCTCTTCTCGGTCGGGGTCATCCTGGCTCTGGTGCTCAACCTGCTGCAGATCCAGAGGAATGTCACGCTCTTCCCGGACGAAGTGATTGCCACTATCTTCTCCTCGGCCTGGTGGGTGCCGCCGTGCTGCGGGACGGCCGCTGGTGAGTGCCCTGCGCGGGACCGGGAGGCCGCGTCCCCGGCCAGACCCCTCCCAGCCCTGGAGCAGCGTGCGTTTGCACGGGGGTGACAGCTGGCATCGCGGTGCCTGTGTCCTAGAAGGACCGGCCCAGGGGGTGGGTGGGGATCCCGCGCGGGCCACGCGCAGCCCTCAAGTCTGGGTAGCAGGGATGGAGATGAGTCGGAGATAATTGGCTGTTTGGGCAGACCTGGCCAGACTGAGGAGTCCCGTCCCTCTAGCGTCCGGGTGACAGAGGCGCAGCTGTCACCCAGCGCCCGCGCCCAGGGATTGGCCACCTGCAGAACTGGTGAGGGCAGGACCGCGTGCCATTGGCTGCGGGCACGAACATGCTACCCTGCGGGTAGCTGAAAACAAACCGTCACGTGTGCAGGAGGCAGTTGCCGGGGCTGCAACTTGTCAGCACTTCCTTTTGTGGTGGCTTTCTGCCAAACAGCCACCACCCCCAGGGCACAACTCCTGAGTGAAGGGCAGGAGCGGCCCCTGGGTGAGAGGGTAGCTTGCTTGCAGCTACCTGACCTGTCCCAGAGTCAAGAAATAGTTAAACTGTGGATTGTTGTGTTTTTTGAAAAGAATTTCTTGATTATAATTTAGCTAGGTTATAAAAACGGTGCATCGTTGAGGCCTAGTACATTGCTTAATACCCTAATGACCCAACATTTGTTTATTTAACACACATTTGTCAGGTGTTTTCCCGTAACCTCCACTCACTGGCACTCGAAATATAAAACTAAATGCAGCAAGTGCCTACGTGCTCCGGGGCTGGCTTACACTACCAGCGGGCGTTTGTACGCTGAGCCTTGCCCCTCCACAGCCCTGCTTTACCCTGGCTCCATCGGGCTGCGGCCCATGTGGAGATGAGGCACAGAGTCGGTGGGGGGTCCTGCCTGCACGGGGTCCCGCCTCCATGGCAGCCAGTGCAGACCTACAGCTGCCACGGTGTGCTGTCATTGTGCAGCTGGGGCAGAAATTTCTCACCTTTGTCAGAAAGATGGGACCCAACTTTTTCTTTGAATCTTTTAAGGACATGGTTGTACTAGTGAAGAGTTCTTCTTGAAAAGTAGAGCTGGACTTGACAATGCATTTTTCAAGCACATTTGATGCCATGGTTTATTTCTTTGAATGAAAAACTTGATCTGTAAAATGAAGCTATTTGTACCTGGAACTTCACTGAATTCCAGGAATGAACCACAGTTTCTCCCAGCCCTACTTGAGTATGTAGCCAACCCTGCCCGCTTCTCTGTTCAAAGAACCTGAATGCGCATCTCTCTCCTTCCAGACAAAGTAAAGCTGTGGCCTGGTGTGTGCTCCTCTGTCCAAGTGCTCTGTACGCAAGAACCTTGTGACCCACGTGGCCACAGACCACTTGTTTGGCCACTGTATTTCTCTCTCAGAAGGCCTGCCTCCCCACTCTTGGAATGGTCTTTGGGGTTCTGAGTGTGTGTACCTTTCCTGACTGCAGACCGTAGGATCTCTTTCTCCTCCCTCCTCCAGTTATACAGCCCTCTTCCTGTCACACATGAACAGACAAACACCACGAGCCACGTCCACACAGGGCACACAGGACCAGAGGCCCAGTGTCCTCTGCCTGGCCCTTGGCAGTGCTTGCAGTGCAGGGCTGCCTTTTCCAAGCGGTATGCATGCAGCAGTGCTCCCCGTGTGCCAGCTGTCGCCCCAGTCCTGAGGAGGTGTGGCCAGGGCACCTCTCTGGGGCTGGTTTGAGTAATAATGAGAACTGTTGAAGATCTGGAATGTGAAAGCTGTGGCTTTCGGTTGGTGTGCTCTAACACTGTTGTCTTTTCCTTAAACAGCTGTTGTCGGCTTGCTGTACCCTTGCATCGACAGTCACCTGGGAGAGCCCCACAAGTTCAAGAGAGAGTGGGCCAGCGTCATGCGCTGTATTGCAGTCTTCGTTGGCATTAACCACGCCAGTGCTGTATCCTTGGCCTGATGTGCTATGTTCAGGGCATCCCGTGGGTCCCGTGCGGATGCTCTGTATTGCTTCTGCTGAGCATCTGGCCTCCAGCCTCAGCCCTGCTGTATCTAGTGGCGGTCACTTACTACACTTCCGGTGCAGTTGCTAAAGCCCCTTTGCACTTAGGGAAGCTGTTAAAGTAGTGCCAGAGGCCCCTGTGCGCCCCGTGCGCTCCTTTCTCAGTTTCTTTTGGCTCCCAAGAGTTCTCCCAATTCCTTTTGACCTGTCTTCCTCCTGTCCTGCTATGCTGAAGTGTGACTGCTGCTGTGGCAGAGGGACTGGAGAGAGAGCCTGCTGTTGTCGCATACAGGACCGTGCCTGCGGCCACCTCTCACAACCAAGGGTCAGTCATGGAAGGCCTGGAACAGATGGCATCTGGGGGTTGAACTCCCTCTGTGCAGTATGCTTTGACCTTGATCTTGTATGTGGTGCCTTTTGAAGAATTTGCCTGTAGTTTGAAAGGTTTGGGTTTTCTTTAGAACGAGGTCATTGCAGTGGGATGGGGTGCTGTCACCCAGGCTGCATGGCACGAGGAGAGAGTTGCCCGGTAGTGCACCCAGCAGTAAGTGCTGAGCAACTGCGTTTATTAAAGACCACAGGACATTGGGCTCAGGGCAAGGCCGTGCAGATAAGGCAGGCGGAAGCAACGCGCCAGGCAGCAGAAAAGCCCCGCACTAGGGTTGGCGCACACACAGACAGCATCTACAGCAGAATGACAAGCACGGTAAACTGAGCCTTTGAGGTTTGAAGGATGCGCACCTTGGCTTCAGGAGCCTCCCACTGAGTTTCTAGGTGTGGTCCACAGGTGCTGAGTCACGGTGGGGGCTGTCAATGCGCATGTCTGTCTCAGAATTAATTCACTCTGATCTCAGTTATGACTGGTTATGCATATCTAGGTGGCCAAAGGTCAAGCTGGGAAATGGAACACTTTCTCAGATAGAGTACCAGCGATTTCCCCGACTTTTGTTACTTTCTACTGCTTAGGACAGTGAAAGTAGGGAAAACCAGGCTGCTGTTAGAATTAAATGGAGAGGCCAGCAAGATAGCTCAGCAGACTAAGCATCTGCTTTGGCAAGCCTAGGGACCAGGGTTCAATCCCCAGTCCCGCACGCTGCACCAGCCCCACTCCCAGGGTACACTGAGCTATCAAGTCCTAGTAGAGTGGCGCACACCTGTAATCCCAGCACTGGAGAGGCTGAAAACAGAAGGATCACTATAAGTCAGAGATGTGTAGTGAGCCCTGTACCAAATACATAAAAAAGAAAAAAATGAAAAAGAATTAAATAAAGAAGAGGGAGTTCTGGGGAGATGGCTCAGTGGAATAAGTGCTTCTCTGGCAAGCTCAGAGGCCTGAGTTCAGTCCCTGTCTCCGCAAAAAAAAGAAGGGTGGCTCCCGCCGCTCAGCGCTCAGCGTAGCTGTTGGAGCTCAGATGAGGGGAAGGGCGCTCCTAGGGACCCGCAGTGTTCCCGGTAATGGTTCTGACGAGGGAGCGCATTGTGGGGCAGCCCAAGGGCCTTGTCTGGGGTCCTGGCAGTCGTCATAGAGACTCGCGGGGACTGTGTACCCCCCTGACGTTCCCAGGAAGGAAGGAAGGAAGGAAGGAAAGAGCGATGTCCTCATGCTGCCGGTACTGTTAGTGCTTCACCGCCACAGCCCTGGGAAGAGTTCACGTGTGACTTCGAGAGACAGCGCTTGCAGTTCCGCCTTGACGTCGGGACGCCAGCCCGGCTCCCCGGCAGCTGCTGTGGGCAGCGCTTGCTGCGTGCTGACAAACACCTGTGAGGAGCTCCTGTGCTTTTAATGTGTTTGATCCTATGAAAAATAGTTTAGCTTTTCCTTAACTTCTGCATCGCCAGAAATTGGATTTTGCCAATAATGTCCAGCTGTCTTTGACCTTGGCGGCCCTGTCCCTGGGCCTTTGGTGGACGTTTGATCGCTCCCGAAGCGGCCTTGGGCTTGGGATCACCATAGCCTTCCTGGCGACGCTCATCACCCAGCTTCTCGTGTATAACGGTGTCTATCAGTAAGTGCGCACCTTTAGAGGCCACCCGGCCGTGTGGCGGTGACGC